AGCAGCAGACAAGCAGTTAAACATTGCTAAATCTGCCAGAGATGCATTAAACCAGCTGCAGAAGGGATTTGAAAGAGCCCAGGTTGTAAATTTTTTTTCCCAAGATAAGTCGTTCTACAATCAAGGAACGCCTCGGTGGAGTTTCCAGGCAGGGGAGTGAATCAACTCCAAGGAAGGGAATTTATGGGCAGGGAAACACCAGGAAGTTGGGAGGCAGCCCTGCCCCTCACAGGTGATCAAAAAAATAAATTTCAATTAAAGAAATAATTCAATTTAAAAAAAAAATTCAATTTAAAAGCCTAAAAGCTGGAGGCAGCTTTGTTTCTGCTGCTGGACAACACCAGAGCCACACATCCCTTCTTTGTTCCAACCCTCCCAAGAGCCAAAAAAGTGAGGAAAAATAAAAAAAAAGAAAAGTTTGACCCAGCCACTGAGTAATGCGAGTGCCCTGTGCTGATAACCAAACCCTGAGAGCCAGGGCTGGCGTAATTAAAGCCCCAACTAACAGAGGAATAATAAAAATGAACCATTTCCACCCCACAATCTTAATTGTGCTGGTGGAGAGGCATCCCCACGCCCTCAACAAATCAAGTTTCAATGCTGGGAGATGACATAAGTGGCAGAACAATCACAGGAGTGTGAGCAGGAGACTCTGTTCCAGCTCTGCCTCTCCCACGGCCACACTTTGTCCCAGCTGGGACCAGGCTTCCTTGTGAAACAGTTCATTTAAGGATTTTTTTTTTAATGTTTTGTTTTGTTTTTTTGGGGGGGGGTGGTTTGCAGCTGTGATAAATGAGAATTATGTACTGTCGGTTTATGTAATTGTTACACAACTGCACAGACTTCAAAAGTATTCATGTGGCCGCAAATTATATTCTTTAAAACAAAATCTGGAATAACCGGTCAAAATTTTAATAGTTGGGTTACCGGAGGCTTCAGAAGCACAGCTCCAAAAAGGAGCTGTGAAATTCAACTTGTCAAGATTTCAGGATCATTCCTTTATCCAAGGGGGAACAAACCACAAACAGGTCCCACTCCTTTTTCCAGGCTTTGAAATCTGCTGCCACCTCTTATCTTTTGCATCACCAGAGGTTTTATCCTCCGAAGATTATCTGGAGGTGCCATGCAAGTGGCAACATTTATTATTGTGGCACAAAGTGTTTCAAACTGGTTATTTATAGGTTCTAAAGCAAATACAAGTGTCCTGCCCCAAAGCTAAGGCTGGGGTAGTTTTTTGATTTTTTTTTTTAGGGTTTGAAAGCCCCAAATTGTCCACAGAGACAAATCCTATTACTGGAGTGAGTAAGAATAATCAAGTGTTTACTTGTAATACCTTGACTAAACACCACAGCCTGCACTAATTCCACTCTGCTCTTAAAGATGCCAAGAAAACAAAGCAAAGAAAGCACTTTGGAGGCCCTGGAAACTTTTTTTCTTGGTTTTTGGGGGGTTTTTATTTGTGATGTCGAAGCCTCAGGACTCACCCCGTGGGTCAGAAAGCATCACTGGTGTGGATTATTGTCATTATCCAGCTGGGATGCAGCAGAGGAGCTGGTAATTATTGTTGATTGGTATTAAAGAAACAACTGGATCTTCAAGAGGGTATTTTCCCCACCCAAAAATCAAAAATTCTGTGCTTTAACATAAACCCACTTTTGCCTCGATGAGTTTACAGAGATTCCAAAGCTCTCAGGTGGTGCTGGAAACAGAACATCTCTGCTGAGCTCAGGTAGAAAAGGTCCTTAATTGAAGTAATTTGACCCCAAAAGCACCCAAATGTCTTTTTTTCTAGACCAGCTCAATAAAAATATACTGATAATTATTAATTTTTGTTCATCAAGCCTTGTACAGAAAGCATCCTGTGGGTGAGCTGGTTGTTCCTCTCCCCATCAAGGTGCAGAGCAGTTCCCTTGTAATTTTTTTTTTTGGCATTTCCCTGTGCTTTGGGCACTTGGCAGCCCCAGGAAACTTCTCCAGACTCCCAGCCCGGCTCAGGCAGGTGAACTCACCCCTGATCCACTTCCAGCAGCTGGGAGGGAGGTGGCTCCTGCTGGGTTCACGGTGTTAAAAGTTATCCAAAATAAAGATACATTCTTTAGATCTGTTTCAAAAACCTCGCCCTCTGGGGTTTGTTGGGTTGGTTTTTTTCCCCCCCCCTCCTCTCTCCTGTGGGAACAGCAGAGCGGCTCTCCAGGATGTGAAAAGGGATTTTTTTACAATTTGGAATTCTCTCCTGTGGGAATACCAGCAGCTCTCCAGGATGTGAAAAGGGATTTTTTTACAACCTGGAATTTCACCTGTGGGAATACCAGAGCAGCTCTCCAGGATGTGAAAAGGGATTTTTTTCACAACCTGGAATTTTCACCTGTGGGAATACCAGCAGCTCTCCAGGATGTGAAAAGGGATTTTTTCACAACCTGGAATATTCACCTGTGGGAATATCAGAGCAGCTCTCCAGGATGTGAAAAGGGATTTTTTCACAACCTGGAATATTCACCTGTGGGAATACCAGCAGCTCTCCAGGATGTGAAAAGGGATTTTTTCACAACCTGGAATTTTCACCTGTGGGAACAGCAGAGCAGCTCTCCAAGATGTGAAAATGGATTTTTTTACAGCCTGGAACCTGTGGAGTCACTCCTTTTCCCTCAGCACACACCCTCGGTGCTGGTGGGGAAGTGCAGGATTCCACATCTCCAGGTGGAATCCACCTATGGACACACAGCAGAATATTCCAAACAACCTCTCCAGAAATAAAAGCTGCAAACCAACCAGGAGGAACCTCCAGGCAATTCCTTCATCCCAGTGAAGTTCCCGAGGCTGCTGCTCATTGCTCTTCTCCTCAGCAGTGGCTTAAAAAGCCACTGCTCCCCTCCCCCCGAGTGTTATTTTTAACCTGGATGATTTCAGTGATCCCATTTACAGCCCCACAGCTGTAACAGGGCCGGGGTGTGAGGACAGGAATAGGTGGCTGGGATTAAAGAGGAAGAAAATGGGAATTTCTCAAAATACCCCAAAAGGCAGCAGCGGTCCCCGAGGTTTGAAACAAACCCCTGAGCCAGGATCAAATCCGCGAGGAGATTTAGGTTTTCAATATTTCTGTCACATGACACGAAGTTACTCATGTCTGGTTGGGCTCCTGCAGGTCCCCAAAGTCACAAGATTCCCCATCATCCCCAGCCCTGGGCTTTCCCCAGGGAAGAATTTGCCTTCTTCTCTACCTGTGCTTCACATCCTGCAGGTTTTATTGCCTCCTTGCATTTATTACCTATTCAAAACCAGGTTTAACCACCCCTTCAGCAAAGCAAGGCTTAGATCCGCTCACATCTTAAGACTTAAAACCTCCCTCAAATATTTTTTCTAAAGCTCTCTGTGCGACCATCTAATTTTCAGGGGAAAAAAAAAAGAAAAAAAAAATACAGTTATGCCATTTTAATTCTGTACCTCTGTTAAATTGCAATGGGAGAGAGAGAGAGAAGAAAAAAAA